GCTGATCGGCATCCCCTTCTACTCCGACGGGCTGCTGGGCGGGCGGTGGGAGGACCGCCGTCCGGAAGCATGGGACGCGCCCGACAGGTCGTACAAGTTCGAGGAGGAGGAACTGGTGAAGATCCTGAGCTCGTGCGAGCAGAAGCTGCACGCGTGGGAGGCGCTGTGCGATCATGATGTTGAGTATCGCGAGAGCTGTACGCGGGGTTACAAGGCGGTGAGTAAGTAGGACGTTGCAAACAGACACACGGCTCGAGCACCTGGCCTGGTGTTGTTTACAGTTCGGCGCGAAAGCAGGGCATGTGAAAAAGAGTGCAGTATGTGAACCCCCTTGAAATCGATGCGTCACCCCTGACTATCAGTCTCAGGTAGCGCAGTTTCGTGCCGCTGACACTGAAGGTACGCGTACCACAAGCCGTGCGTCCCTGGTGAATCAACTCAAGAAAGTCGTGGGGGTATGCCGCATATGCCAGTTCTGAGGGAAGTGTTGCATGTGCTCATTTTGCGCATCGTAGGTGTCAAAGGAGGCTAGGGCCAGTCTCTCAACGTTTGTCGGGAAGTTTTCGTATGCTCAAGTGGCCAAGGTGAACTCCATACCAAAGTTGTCCGATAAACAAGCTGATCGGGGAATTGGCTCAGGGAATAGGATCGTCCGAGCGGCGGTCTTATAATCCAGTGGCAGTTCACATCTGTTGATACCGTCTTGTGGTCCGTCACAATGCTTTCTCCGTTCAGGTCACGGCGATTGCATCCGCGAGCATAATGCATAATTCCCTGAGGAGACGAGTCAAACGGAGAGCGCGGTCCGGAAGGCGCACAGCCTTCTTTTTGAGAGTTACAATACGAACGAACATCCCGGTGTGGAGTAGGCAACTCTGGCACTCCTGTTGATATCTATCTGTTTGTGTGGTTGCTCTCCCGCGCGCCTGCCCTCACGCAGACATGTCAGAGTCTCCTCGACGATGCGTGACAAGGGGCCGCTACCTCCGCCTCCGAGCGAGGATATCTCTGCGAATGCGACGAGGTGCCTCCGAACCGGGAGTTCTGCAACCCGCCTGCGAGTTGGTCTTCTCTCTCGCCCTACACACCTGATCCCATCCCCAGGGCGTACTGGCACCAACGCGACACCTGCGCCATTCATGCTTTTACCGTTATGATGATCTTGTCCGCTACGCACCGGTCAGTATCCTGCCTCACAGCCGGGGGAAGTCGTTGAATATTCGCGGAGAGCACCGTCCTGCGTGACGCGCGCGCGTACTCGCATCGTTCTCATTGCCGAATGACCTGGGGCGTTCCCGAAAAGTGAAACCGCCAGCACAATGCCTTGGACCTGTCGGGCGTCATGAATTACAGCCAGGACCAAGAAAATCAGCAGTAATACAGCTACGATTCTGCCGTCCGCGGCGTCGAAGACCGACGCCAACCAGCCGTAATCGCACAGCTCGTGATGCCATAGTGAAGTCTGCAGTGAAGACAGCGGGGAACCATCGCCAGATGGAGGGGGTATCAGCAAACGCTGGGTAGAGTGGCCCAGGGTATCTCAGCGCTTTCCGAAGCCCGTCATGGGAGCTTCAGGACCATGCCAGCGCGTCGATGGAAAACGCTGAACTTCTCGAGCGGATGCCGGCCTGCACCAGCACTTGAGCACGAGCGCACCCGCACTATACTGCAGTGATGGGACTCAAGCCATGGCTTCTGCACGTGCGCGAAAGGCGACTTCGGGGTGGACGCCTTTTGGAGCCGCTTCGGGCGGGCGAGCACGCGGCCTGCCCCTGAGCGTATTTTGGTTCCGGATTCTGGTTTGGAGTCACTGGTGTCGGGAGCGGACGAGGCCTCGTCGACGATGTCTTCGTCATTGTCAGTGATACTGCGGTGGCCTTCGCCCGTGCTTGACAGCGCCTCCTCGGAGTCGTTCGCAGAGTCGCTTTCAGAGTCGGAATCCAGGATCCCAGGGTTACGCTGCGGGAGGGGCACTCCTGGGTTCCTGCAGCGTGCCTCGCGAACGATACGGGCGTGGTGTATGAACACACAAAACGCCACACAGGGTGACGGACGTACCTTGAGACCGTATCCTGCTCCTGTTCCAGGTCTAGCGGATTGGGGATCTTACCGTCTGGGAAGTGCGCCGCGAGGTCAAACCACAGGTCGACCAACGGCATCGTCTCCTCGGAGTCTTGATGTGCCAGGTTGAAGACGTCCATGGCCATGATGTCCTTGACGGAGCAGTTTCTCGAATGCGCCAATGGGAGAGATCCGGTCGCTGGCGTCTGTGGCAGCTCGTCATCTGAGGAGTCCACGATGGAACTGGACACCTCGGACGACTGCGACGGACGCCGCGATCGCGACAATTGCGCGACTGGGCCGGCATCCTCATGCACAGCTTCCGATGCAGAGTAGACCCGGTTGCAGTCCTCCCAGAGCGCCATGCCGAGCCTGACGTGTTCCGCTGAGCTGACCTTCACCGCACCCGTGTCATCGTACAGCTCTGGCTTGCGGCGGACACGAACGGTCATCGTGTTGTTCACCCAATGATAGCAATTATCGAATGGAAACGGTGGCTCAGTGACGATCGGCGCGCGACCTTGTGGACGGTCCGGGTTGGGATGGATGGGGACGACCATGTCGGATGTAATCCCACGTTCCGCGTCCTCCGGCCGGAGGGAGGATGCGATAGGACTGCTCCGGAACCGGAACCATTCGCTTGTGGGAAACGGCAGATCCAGTTCCTGTGAGTGATGTCCGTATCAGTCTATCTGTGCAGTATCTGCCAACACAATGCGCACCAAATCCAAGTACACTAGGTACTTCTGCGCATGGAGTGCTCGCGCTCGCGTTGTAGCTCCAGAATCGCCAAAATGCTCAACCATCGCCTCGGGGTTGATGCGGATGACCGCATACTGGAGGGACGCAGGGCTCAAGCGCTTCATCGGGACAGTACTCGGAGTATTTCTAGCACTGGATGACTGGGAGGAGCGATGCGAACGAGCGTGGGTCACAGGCGAGTCCTGTGGTGAGTGATGAACACGACGCTTCAAATAGGACGAGATTCGCAGGCGTCGTTGCTCTTTCCTCGTTTGTGGTCGAGTTAGGGTTGTGGTTCAAGTTGCGATTGCCTCCGCGGCTGTGGCGTCGGGCCTCACAGCAGTTATTTCGGGTTGTTTGCGTACGCCACCGTATGTGGGTTCAAGAAGCACTGCAGCTGCAGCATCGCGGGCCCGGGCCAACGTGATTCAAGTCAATGCTGCTAGAGCGATGAGCGCGCGGTTGACCCTGGGCCTTCACCACAGAGTCGCCTTCCCTCGTTTGGGAGCCCGACTCGACCTCGCAGCTCACCGCCCTCGACACCCATCGCAGATCGCATGTCGTCCAACGACCCACAGACTGGTCGGGACGCTACCCCTGCTACTATTGGCACCGATTGCGTGAGGTGTAACAATCGGCGTGATGCCGAATACTATCCAGACCCCACCGCTACCACCCACATCCCTGGAGAGATATGTGGCACCCCAGCACGGGTCCTTGGTCTGGTCAAGCTGCTGCTCAAGGGCGACTTGCCGCCGCGCACCGCCATACACGATGAGCGACCGTGCGTGGTCATGGAACCGACCCCTGCGACTGCCTCTTATAAGCCCGGCTCCACCGTTCAGCCCCAGTTGACAAGGAGCACGATCTGCCTCATGACGAGCTTCCACAAGACGACGTACGCCGAGCTGCGCGCGCTCCCACAGATCATCCAGCGCCTCTGCATCACCGTCTTCCCCCACCCCAGCGACGAGCACGTCCATACCGACCCTGAGTGGTGCGGAGACTGTCAGGACTGCCAGTGGCTGTTCGCCTACCGCTTCCAGTACGAAATTCATACGCATTGGCAGAACAGGTGCTCTACAACGCCGAATACGTCGTCCTTCAGGTTGGACGAGGTCGAGTTGGCCAAGCTTGTGTCAATCTGCGAGCGCAAAAAGGCGGAATGGGACGCGTTCGTCCAAGAGCCCGAGAACGTTCCGAACTTGGACGAGCTCATGCAGGAGTACAAGGTGTGTCCGCGCTGCTCCTTTCTATGCCGCACGGTCGACTAAGGATGTTGAAGAACATAATCAAGAAAATGAGGATGAAAGACAAGAGGCGGGCGAAGCTGGCGTCGCGCGCCAGCGCAGGGGTCCGACCATCGACGCCATACATGGAGAACAGCATGACGGTCAGCCTGAGACGCCCCTACTACATCTTCGCGGCCTGCACTTCTCACAATATGAGCCTGTAGAATGTCGGACAGCGGAGGAAAAACTCAGCACCGCAACTTAGCGCCATCTCGTCCACCATCGAGATCGTCACAGAGAGCCCTGGAGCCAATAGTAGCGTGCCGGACGACGTGGCCAGAATCGAGACTCCGGTCGACCTGGTGGAGACATCCTGCGGACCAGCCGGAGTTCCGAGACAGATTGCTGTGGCGACACTTGATGCAGGGGTTGTAAGTGGAATGGCTGTATGGTAGCAAAGCATCGTTGAGCCCTGAACCCTCTCCTGCAGCCGGGCACAGCGGAGACGGACTTGAATGAAGGCACGGCAGCCGCCATTGTCGTTCCCGCTTGAACAACGCGGGTGAACTGTGCATTAGTAACTTACGATAGGGCATATTTGGATGTACATTATCTCTGAATGGAGCGACGGTTCAACCGTCTCGATTGTTATGAATGCCTGATGAAGTATGATTCAAATGGATCGAGTCGTAGACTGTCATTCTACCTTGCAAGTTCTCCATCTATACATTAGACGGAGGGGACTTGCAAGTCCGCATTCCGGCGCTTAAATTTCCTTTTTAAGTAGCTAGGGTGGTGACCCCTGAGGTTGCGGGGCTGCGGCAGTTGTTTCATAGTTGTACATATAGTTCTTGTCTTTGCATAACGGGACATGTTGAGCAGGTTGTTGCATCCCTCGCATCAGTTTACAAGCATTGATTATGGATGCGACTTGTTGGAGACGCTTTGTGATCGAGAGCAAAAATATGGCCAACGCCGGGGTCGAACCGACGACCTTGGCGTTATTAGCACCACGCTCTAACCAACTGAGCTAGTCGGCCATGGAAAAAGGCGATATATAAACAAATATTGAAGGTTAGTAAAGCCGGCGATTGCCCCGCAATCAAGTCGCAACTTGTGTTCTGCATTTGGGTTGCCATACATGTCGACGATTCTGCGAACAAAAGTTGTAGGTCGAGTGCAATTCCGGCAATGTTGCAGAAACAATTGATGTACAAGATTACGCCACAAAGTGGCACGATGGCAGTACAGATGCAACACCAAAGTGGATGGGACCGACGGCAAGACAAGAGTGTACGGAGTGAATCATGTAGAAAGAAGAGACGGGCCCAAAAACATGGAGGGGAGGAACATCGTTCGTCAAAAAGCGGGCAGTTCACCGGATCTTGGTAGACCGTGGAAAAGGACTGGAGCCGTATGACGGTGAAGGAGGCGAAGAGCCTGCGCTCAAGCCTTCAGACGCGGCTCTGATGATGTTTGTACACATTGGACTTACAGAACCGCGCATGGACCGACCCTTCACAGGACCACGATGTGGCAAGGGGGTTTGGCGGTGGGGAGGATGACGGTGGGAAGCATGATGGCACGGAGGATGTCCTGTGTGGCATGTCATGCTCGCGGTCCGCGGCCAGCCGTGGAATGTCGATTGCCTTGGCCTCACCCCCTCCGTGTGGGGACGAGGCAAGCTCCTCGACCTCGGCCTCGAGATCTTCGGACATGTCCCACTCGCTCACTTCTGTGTAGTCATCATCCTCGCTTTCACTCGCGCTGTCAATATCGAGCTCGCCATTGCGCCGCGGTACTGGAACCTCAGGATGCCTACGCCGCGCTTCGCGTACAATACTATATGTTATGACGTGAGCGGACCAAGCGCAGGTAGCTCATTTGCAGGAATGTTACGTACTTCGCGATCGCGAGCTGCTCTCTCTCCAGCTCGAGCGGACTGGGAATGTCCGCCTCAGAGAGGTGTTCAGCAAGGTCGAACCATAGGTCCACCAGCGGCAACGTCTCGTCCGAATCGTCATGAGCCAGATTGAAGATATCCATGGCCACGAGATCCTCGACTGAGCTGTTCCGCCGCTGGATGCCACGTATAGATCCGCTCGGTGGCGTCTCCGGCTCGTCGTCGGACGTCTCACTGGTAGAGGAATCGTCCGACGACGGCACATGATAGTGTCGTGGTGGCGATTGCGGCGCCGATGCTGTGGGAGGAAGGGAGCCAGCATCCACGGCGTTTTCCTCCTGCTGTGACTCTACCGCAGCATTCATCCGGTTGTAGTCTTCCCAGAATGCCATTCCGAGCCTCACGTGTTCGGCGGAGCTGACCTTCACCGCGTCCGTATCGTCGTACAGTTCCAACTTGCGACGAACGCGGACAGTGGTCGCGTTGGCTACCCAGTGATAGCAGTTATGGAACGGGAATGGCGGCTGTGTGACAATCGGCGTGCGACCTTGAGGGCGGTCCGGATTGGGATAGATTGGGATGACCATGTCAGACGTGAGCCCACGCTCCGGGTCCTCTGCGCGGAGGTAGCATGCAATTGGGCTGACCCGGAATCGGAACCACTCGCTGGTGGGGAACGGGAGGTCCATGTCCTGTAAATGACAACCGTATCAGTCCATCTGTGCGATATCTGCCGATAGGATGCGTACCAAATCCAAGTATACGAGATACTTCTTCGGACGGAGAGCTTGAGCCTCACGGGTAGCGACAGGGTCCTTGAAGTGTAGCACCATGGCTATGGGATCGATTCGGATGACAGCATATTGCAGTGATGCGGGGCTAAGACGCTTCATTGCCCAAGATAGGGGACCAGGAGAATGTCAATGGGTTGGCTCCCAACGTGAACGAAGCTTGCTGACGGTTACGCCAACCGTGAGCAGGCTTCCTGTACGTTGGAAGACAAGGCGTTGAACGTTGAGCAATGCCGTCCGATGAAGGTGAGATGGTCAATGCAGAGAAGGATGGTCGTGGTTGAAGTGGACGTTGCTGTCCTCGTTGTGGCGCTGCGGCAGTGCGACGCCACCACGTGGATTTGTCCCTATTTGGTGTGTCAGTATTGATCCTTGGTGCTGCAGCATCGCAGCCGTGCTCTAAGTCTCTTCCTCCCACTCCATACACCCAAAGCACAGAATGCACACCCCCTCCCACGTCCCAGACAATGATGATGGTCTCAACACGTTGACCTCGCAGCCTTTCACACCCAAGCCCGGGAACATCTACCGCGTCTTGGAGACTCCGACTGCACCAATCAGTACCGCACTCCTCGTTCGTGGTATTCCGCGGCCTAGAGGCGCACAGTATCTCAGAACTCCGGAAGCGAAACAACTGTCTTTTGTTGCTGGCGCGCAAGACTCCCGCGACTATCATGCGCACCTCTGCGTCGTCATGCCAGGCTCCGACACAGGATCGGCGGGTACAATCACAATCTGCCTCATCGTTGCGTTCGAAAGGAAGGAGACTATGGACGGGCTTCCGACGATACTTCGCCGCTTCTCTGTACCAGTTCCCCTACACATTCTCACTCGACTTGCCGGCGAAGGCGGCCCACACTGGTCCCTCCCTCCGCGCTTCTCGGAGAACGCCCACTACATCGCCTTTCCCTACCCCTTCAAGTCTCACCGCCGCGCAGCAACCATTGAGAACACGGGTCACATCTTGGCCTCTGCAGAACTGGCAGACCTAATCGACAGTTGTCAGCGGAAGAAGGAGGAATGGCAAGCGCTTCTCTCGACCAACCCCGAGGAGTTCGTTCGTTACCGGCAGGAATATGAGGAGTTTCTTCGCCCCCTCTCGCCCTCGCCGCTTCCGCCCAGAGAGAACGTGTCATCGGAACCAAATCTGCTTACAAAGGCAGTTCCTCTCGCTACCGTCGAAGTCGTTGAAACAGAGCCGATGTCCGACTCGCCTGTCGATCCGGCATTGCGCCAACAGGCGCTCACTCCGGTGGTCGCCGAATCCACTTATTAGGCTTCGTCTACGGAGATTCCCAATGACTCCCTGCTCAAGGGCACACTCAAGCAGGAAGCAGACTCGACAACAGTGCGGTCACAACTTATCTCTGTGCGCTCCGGGCTGGGCGATCAGTAAATCGGCCTCACATACACCAACCCCTCACTGCCCGTCCCGGGCCCACCGATGCCCGAACACTTCCCTTGTGTGCTCAGCCCCGCGAGCATCCACGCTACGACATCCTCCTCGCGCGCATTCACACTACGGCATTCTGTCCGCGTGTGTCCACGCTACCGTGGCGTCTTGCCCGCTGCTGTGCGCAAAGGCCACACGACCTGCGCATGAGGTGTCGAGCTGCTCAATGGTGACCCTAGTCAAGATTGGTTTTGCTATGGTTCCTTGTTGGTTCATATTCGTTCTTTTGTTCGTGTCATGTACTAGTTCCAGGTCGAACGCCTGTGAAGCGGCCCGGTTGACCCTCAGCACCCATCTCTTGCACCTCCTTTTTTGTACTCTCTCCTAGATGTGTAGAACCATCACCTATGTTTCATCAAAAATCGTCATGGTGCCAGTATCGCTCCTCGTTACCTTACTGCCGGCTGATGAACGGCAATACTATGTAGAGGACCAGCAATCGATTTGCATAGCTTGTGCGCTGCTACACTGTTTTCGTCTGCTCCTGCGCGATAGAATGAATTCCTATGCTCCTGACCTTAACAAATCATTATGACGTACGAGGCAGCGTGAGCCAGATGCTGCAGCTGCAGCTAGCTTGCCGGATCCCACGCCATGTAAATCCTCGTTCTTGTCCCTCTCATACGACGAGTCTGCTTGTTCAGCGAGATCAATGGCAGAATCCGACATTACAAACACTGCCGTTGCAACATGCTCGAAATGTTCCGAGTCCCAGGTTAACCCACAACCGCCGCATACGCCGTCTTTCGTTTTTCCACTGGCATGGAGAGCGCAACCTGGAAACATTCACAAAATCACCGAATCTCCAAACACTCCCATGCACGAGATCCTCCGAATACCCAGGCCGTCCAGTCGACAGAGCACCCGTAGCGCTTCAAGCACCTCCACTGTGCGTACGTCCGGCTCCGTCGCGAGCACCACCAAGAGCGACTATCAAGGGCGCCCTAGACCGTGCGTTATAATGCCATCCGATGTCGGACCCCCGTCGAGTCCGAAAGCATGCGAGATATGCCTCATGGCGACGTTCAGCCAAACGGCTGCCCTCGAGGAGCTGCCCGAGATCCTCCAGCGCTTCTGCATCCACATCTCCCCGCATCCGTCCACCAACCTCGCCGGCACGCCCCACGTGCACACGTCGCCGCGATGGTGCAAGGAGAACGCGTGGCTCATCGCGTACCGGTTTGTTTCCAAGAGCACGATCATGGGGAGGTGGCAGGAGTTCGATGCGACCTACAAGCTCGATCTAGAGGAACTGGCCGCTCTGGTCGATGTGTGCCAGCAGAAGCGGAAGGAGTGGGACGAGCTCATCCAACAAGACGGAAGCGTGCTGTTGCGTTGTAGGAAGCAGTGGATTGTGAGCACTGCCTCAGGCCCGGAGCGTCGTACGCATCAAAGCGACGGCACCAAGAGCTGACTCTTATCCTCTGCAGAAGAGCAGCAAAAAGGCCGGACGGAAGAAGAAACGCGACTCTGAGTCAAGGGTACGCAGCTGTACCCTCTACTAGCTACGTTTCAATCCGGGTAACCCACGCTTCTACCTTCTCAGCTGCCCTCGCGGACGTCCGCCTCAACCAGCCCCCAATCCTCCACCCTCGGCCTTCGGGTCACCCCCGCGCCGGACGCTCCCACATCCTCTTCTCCCAGTTTGCTGACAACGCCTGTCGCTATTACCAGTCACCCTGACGGTAGATTCGGGTCGAGCAGAGCAGTCCCGGCGGCAACCCATGATCAGCCTCTACTAGCAGTAGCCGCGATCTCCCTGGACTCTGCAGCTGGAGCGGCGCACACCGTCTCGGAGGCCTTCACAGAAGTCGTCGACACAACGGTTGTGGTGCGTCTCTGTCTAGTGTATTCACGTAGCAATCCCCTTGTTGATGGTGCCCCGGACATGCC